AATAATAATATCCGAATTGTACCAAACAGCAGTATTCCAGACAACAGAGGAGTACGACAGGAGTAGACACAAATTGGAGTATATGAGACATTAATACCACAAATTAGTGCTTAATGTTAATTTTGAATCCGAAACTTTGTAAGTAATAAAAAGATATAACTTTCCATTTACCGAAGCAAATCGAAATTCGTTCTTCGATTGACGCAACAAGCCAAGACTTTTGCCAACGCTTAGATCGACGTCTTCTGTTTCCTTTCTTTCTTCTCTCTCACATCGAATTAAGCAAAATTAGAAACGAAGAGAGAGAGAGAGAGCTTTGAGGAGGAGAAAACCCTATTCGATCAGGAGATCGTCGCAAGTAATCGAACCGCGAAGGATTTAACAGAATCGGAGGTTTGCAAGGCGTGAGGGTAGAAATGCTTAACGATGGAGAAGCAACTCCTTCTAGGTAAACAATTCGGGATCGTACAACTCCAGATTCTTCTGTGTGATCGTGCTTAGTGCCAGTAGTTGTATTTTCCGAGTGAATTTGGGAGTTTTTTTCTGACAGTTTCCAGTTTTATTACTCAAATCGAAAATTTGAGAGTGAATGAAAATTTTGAGTATTGTTTCTTAAGTTGATTGTGTTGTTTCTCAGGCATGAGATTCTGAGTATGGTGAAAAAGCACTCGAAATCGTTAGGAAAGATGTCTCTTGATGAACGAGATGCGTCAGATGTAGAAATGGACTCAAATTTCTGGCATGGTGTCTTTGATGTTTACTTCATTCGTGGGATGGAATCAAAGAAGCGGCAAGACGATGATCTGCTATTTTTTGTAAGGAAATTGGTATGTAGCTTCCACTTCTCTCTCTGAACTGAAAACTTTAATATTGTTAAACGTTGCTGAGTATTGTATTACTTTTGCCAGAGCTGTAAGTCATATGGTTTGACTGAAAATGATGAAGCACCAGCTCCTTACTTTGTGCGCAGGTGGGCACCTAAGGTAAAAACTGTAGGAGACGATACATTTCTTAATCTGGTTATGTCTTATCACATGAGGTTTGGTTTTGTCAATATAACGTTTCAATTGCGAAGAACAAGGCCTTAGATTGTAACTCTGCTGAAGGTAACAAAAAAAATTGATTTACTTCTGTTTTTGGGTGAGGGAGTGTTTGCTAAGCTACAGTACATACCTGTATTTCTGTAAGGGATTGTTCTTTCCTGGCCGGCATGTGAAAGCTTTTTATGATCTATCATATCTTATTTATCTGGGAATTAGACCTTTGACACTTCAAAGTATCCATTTATTTGTTGTGTTTTCACCTTGTATGTATGGTCTGTAAGCACATGGTAATGAATTTCTTCTCCCTTTGAGCCAGTTGGATGAGCTGCTTGGTGAAAGTCTGGCTGAAGTTGATTGGAGGAAATCATTTTATTTGAACATGATTGCCCACACATCTTTCACTGTTACGGTGGCGATTTGCAGGTAACCGTGTGACTTTCAGATTGTGATTAGCGGCATGATTGTTCACTGTTACAATTCTATTAGATACTGTTTTGCTGATATTACTATCCTCGTTTCTTTCCGTTTCCAAACTCGTGTCATTGCATCCAGCATTACTTTAGCCTATATGTTTGCTAGGCTGGAATCTCAGATACCCTCTTCGTTTCAGTTACTAGGAGTCATTTTATGACCTGTTTCTTTCCCAGTCCATATTCTACTAATCATATGGCTTTTTTCTCTTTCCATTTTACTGCATCATAGTAACATTGAAGTGCTCGTGTTTTTTTTTAGTAATGAGGCCCTTAAGACGTACCAAGGAAGTAAAGAGACAACACTCTCTCCTATATACAAGGTTAGAGATCCTAAGAGTGTTGTGTAAAATTACTCTTGACTCTTCTTTAATCTTTTCATATGAAAAAGCATCTGAAGCCAACGAGAAGTTACATATTCTGTTTTTTAAGATATGTCAGTCGAGCTTTGTTTTTATCATGAGCCTACTAAGACAAGAGTGAGGGAACGGAATATTAATCCAGTTTTGTGTTTCGAAAAGAGAGGATATTCCAGAGGAGTGTTGGACCAAACATATATTGGATATTTCTTTCTGAGATTCAAGTTGATTTCATATTCACTCACCCAATAATAATCATATTCTAGGATCTGACATTCATATCGTGCAGGTGGTTAAAACTGTATATGCATCACCTAGTCGTGTTAATTTTCATCTGGACGCAAAGAAGGCAAGTATAGTCGCTTTTCTTAGTGTAATGTTTGTCCATTTGGAATTCACGTTTGATGTTTCCATTGTTGTGTACCTAGGAAGTGGAGACAACACCTGCCTACCCAGATATATGTTTTGCCGTAGATGATTTTGACTCAACCTTTGATGCTGTGGTAACATATTTTCTTCTCCTTTTTTTTMTTTTMTCCTTCCAACTACTATATTTTGTGGTCCTTTTGTTCAAAGAAACTCTAGACTTGAATGGATGGTAAGAAAGGGTGACATTTCGTTCATAGTGAAATTGGCTCTGGAAGAATATTTTTATAATTGAGGAAATCTGCATGAGTTCTCCGTTATCACTGGGGAACATACATGCATTCGTAGTTTCCTCTTAATTGAACAGCGTAATCTTTTGTAGGATATATTTGTTGGCTTTTGGAACATGATCCAGATGTTAATATTTCAACTACCTTTGGCACTGCTTTAGACATCTTCTCCTTTTGCGTTTAGTGCATGCATATTAATATTCCTCTTCAGAGGATTGGCCAGTCTTCTTCTTTAGTTTTTTCAAAGGCACTTAAGAGTTTGGCTTATGGTTCCTACTTCCTATAAATAAATTAAGTCGTATGGTTAGGCTTCATGCATGGAAATTGTTATATTGTCCATTTTTTTGTTTCCAACCCTTGTTGGCTTTCTCATTGATGTTTGCAGGTTCTGACAGAAAAAGATCATTGCTATTGCGTACTTCTTAATTCTCATGATGGGGCAGCTTTTCCAAGTGCAAATGGAAAAATTGATAAAGATTCCAGTGATTCTAATGCAAATACTGACTCCAGAAGTGTGAAAGATCCTAAGGTCTAGTGGTTTCCTTCCTATCTTTGTTTCACTATGAACGTCAACTTTATTTCTAAGTAGGAGAAAAAAAAATTAGAAGGTATTGGTCTCTTGCAAGCATAACTGTTTCATGCATGTTGAGGGCCATGACCTTCCCCACCCTTTTGGCTGAATGTATCAAGATGACCTCCATCTCGAGCTCTAAAAGATCTCTATGGTGTGCATTTTACTATGACAACATGTTTCCATCTCAAGGGATTTGAGTGGAACGAGTCTTAAATTTAAGTATGCTAGTCAGGCTTCGGGTTGGCCGTTCTCCCAACTGAATCCTTTATAAGTTCTGGAGTTTTCTGTGTCTGCGAACAGTTTTGCTTAAACATCACCATGTAAAGGAATCTGTCAGTTCCACTTATGCTCGCTAGGGTTGATATTTAAACAGGTTAACTTAGTATGATTTGTGATTTTTTGGAATGATCTGAAAGATCTTTTAGTTTTAAGCATATGGTTTGTAAGGTATACATTATAGTGACTTCCTAATGAGAAAATAAAATTGATGTGCGGGTGCTTTTGGCTGCAGGTTACTCTGTTTTCTGGATTTGTCAGCTATCAAATGGTTCGAGAAGCCTATGAAGGTCT